GAGGACCAGTTCTATAGACTCCAAGGCTCAAAAGAAGCCTTCAGAGTCAAAATCTTCAGGGACATCTGGCCGGATATCCACATCTCATGTGTCAGACCTCATGTTTTCTCATGTGGGGTTCTGACTTTGGAATAACATGCCTGTTTCCATTGGACATTTGCCCATCACTGGAGTTCAGCAACTTGGTCCAATCCTGGACTTGGTATTGCTACTCACCCACTGCATGAGATGAAGACTTCCTAATAACCTATCAAAGGAACTTCTGGATCTCATACTCAGCTTTACTTTATGTTAATTGCTTTCAATTTTTTATCCACATCTTGGGTATACATGTAACCTAATAGCAACCATGCAATTCCACTGTCTTTATGTGTATCATCCCTCTCCCCAATACCTTTCAAATACTTGAATCACCGCACTGGCCTATGCATTTGCCTCTACTGGCTCAGCCCACTACTGGTGGAGAGTTTTAATAGTCAGGCCACCACCTTGTGCTGGAGGCCACTGGCATGCCATCCACTGCCAGTGCTCATTACCAGCTGGGTGGTGAGTGATCCAGTCCCCAAATCTCATCCGAATGCCTGTTTTCCTGGAGCTCTCTCACTACTCGCTAATACAAGTTGGGTTTTCTCGATAGCAGACACTTAAAGTAAAATACAAAGGTTTAATGAAAAGTAACACCTGTGAAAGGAAAAGCAAGGAAGCAGAAGTGGGTAGAGGGTATTAAAAAGGAATGTCTCTCTGACAGATTTCTGTCAGACCAAGTGGGACTTCTGGAATTAACTTGACATGTTAGAGACTGAGGTGGAGAACTTAGGAGATGGGTTGTATGTGATGAGCTTTGAATTTCTTAAACAATGTTTGAACAAATGGTTTAGGAATAAGGTTGGTTGGGAGAAGCCAAATCACACGTATGACTCTAGGGAGGAAGGTATTTTAGAAACATCCAGGGTCATTTTCAAATTGCATAAGCTCTCTACCTCTCAGCATTGTGACTCCTACACACATACACACACACACTGCTTTGAGAATTCGTGCTGAAAGAATGACTACGTTACATATTCTTGAACATGCCAGGTGCTTTAAATCATTTCATTTGATTTGATTGAATTTAATTTTTTTATTTAATTTAACAATTCTATGAGAATGTTATTTTAATTCCAGTTGCACATGAAAGAAATCTGAGGCTTTCAGAGATAAACAACTTTTCTAAACCCTGCTGAGTAGTAAATAGAAGAGCCAAGATTTGGTTCTAGGTATTTTAACTCCAAAGAGCAAACTATTTCCACTACAACATGCCTTTTGAATAGACAATCGCTTTTGAAACATAGTAAGATATATTATTCCCTTATCTCCACTAACTACATAAAATTAAACTTGGCTATACATACAAAATTAAAATATTACTCAATTTTAAAATGTATATTTACAATAAATGTAAAACTGTAACATTTTATATTAAATGGTGGGCAAATCTATTATCTTTGTTTTTCTCTCTTTATAATAACTCTGTGAGAGAGGTAATGACAAATTCGTCACCAACCACAGCCATATGACTATACTTCCTTGAACTTGAGTAATCAAACTCCAAATTCAAAGAAATCACTACTGACCCACACCCTCTTAGATTATCTGCTTTCTGATTGTTGTTTTCCTGCTAGTATTATGATGGACTCCAATGAGAAATTAATATTTATTTCAAAGTTAGATCTATTAACAGATTGTTTGCATGTTTGGAGACATTCTCTTAACTGTGAGCTCTCCCTCTTAGTCTAGGCAAGCAAAAAAAAGAAAAAAAAATCCATTTCAATAACGCATACACTGCATGGTTTATCCTTCATCAAAATAAATTTTCTCTTTTATTTCCTCAAAAACTGTTCTTGTCAGTCCTCTGAAGTGGGGTTGCCTTGATTTTGTGAATGTACAACTAGAGGAATAAAATCAAGCTTATGACAGATAGAAATAGGATTCTGATATTTGTTGGATGTCATTCTTTGTTCCTTATCCTTTCAGTGGTGGCCCCCTTATGAACAGAAAAGGTCAAGGCCTATCCTGCCACTTTCTGAGGAGCTCAAGATTGAGAGTTAATACCTTTTGGTGTTGTTGAGGATGTGAAGAAAAGGCACTCCCATGCACTGTTGGTGGGGTTGTAAATTGGTACAGCCACTGTGGAAAACAGTATGGAAGTTTCTCAAGAAATTAAAAATAGAACTACCAGATGACCCAGCAATTTCATTTCTGAGTATTTATCCAAAGAAATCCAAAACATTAGTTCAAAAGATATATGGACCCCTATGTTCATGCACTATTATTTACAATAGCCAAGATAAGGAAGCAACCTAAGAGTTCACAGATAGACCAATGTATAAAGAAGATGTGGTACATATATGCAATGGATTATTACTCGGTCATAAAAAAAAAAAATGAAATCTTGCCACTTGTAACAACTTGGATGAAGAAGCTATTATGCTAAGTGAAATAAGTCAGACAGAGAAAGGCAAATACTATGTGATTTCACTTATATGTGGAATCCAAAAAAAAGATAAAATGAACAAACAAAAAAGAAATAAACTCATAGATACAGAGAACAACTTGATGGTTGCCAGATGGGAGAGGGACTGGGGGAGGAGTACAGAAGGTAAGGGATTAAGAAGTACAAATTGGCAGTCATAGAAGTAGTCACTAGGATATGAAGTACAGCCCAGTAAATTTAGTCAATAATATTGCAATAACCATATATGGTGTCAGATGGATACTAGGCTTAGCAGGGTAATCACTTCATAAGTTATATAAATGTCAAATCACTATGTTGAACACTTGAAACTAATATAATATTGTATGCCACTGTAATTGAAAAATTAAAAAAAAAAAAACTTTAAAAAGAGCAATCGTTTGAACTAGTCCCTATTAGAAACAAATCCTTTGCTGCACAAACCACAATTTCATGCCCCAGCTCTCTTTGGGTTGAGCTCATTCCAGACAAGCAGGAAGTCACTTTCAGACAGAACGCAGTTTTCCCCATGCCACTCCCCTGACTCATCCTCAAGTTTTGTTGTGAATAGTGATAGGGCACCAGGATCTACATTAATACATTCTGTTATTAGACATTCAAACAATACTTTTTGACTAAGCACATACTCATTAAAAAGGCCTTTGCTGAGTACTCCAGGAAACACAAAGATGGAGGGAAAAGAGCATCTGGAAAAAGGGCTGTCAACAAATACAGAAGACAATACTTCACATCCTTGAAAAAATTATTAAAACAAAAGTAAATTTTAAATAATTGGCCAAATAATCCCTTTCATTTATATCAAAGAAAAATTGAGCATTAGGGTGGAAAAAACAACAACTATGTTTGTGAAGGTGGTCATTGAAAGAAACATCAACAATAAATAAATAAACACACACACATATACATATCAATACATCATATCAGGAGGTGGTTTCAGTCTTTTACAATGAATCTAGTCAGTGTAATATGATTCACCCTTTAAAATGCAGCCATTAAAATAGTTAATAATTGATGAAACTATGTACTATATTGACAGGTTTTCTGTAAATTTGAAATTATATCAAAATAAAAAGTTATAATATAATTTTTATACAGCTCTTGGATACATGTATAGCTACCAGGAATTATACAGCTACTAGAAATAAAAATTAGTAATGCAAGGATATGGTTATAAAATAACATTAAATATAATAAGCATAATACAAAGTTATATATTATGATAGAACCATGTGAAAAATACATGAAAAGTACTTAAAGGTTAACATGTGAAATGAGTATTGTTTGTTTAGTTAACTTTGTTCAAAAGTTCTAAAAATAATCTTTCATTCTTTTTACCAAAGAAAGAAAAAGCATCAGAATATCACACATGAAATACAGAATCTGATGCAAATATATAAGACAAAGCAAGGGAGAAACTCACTAATTTCTGCCCCTAAATGTTTGGTTTGCACATTACATAACAAATGTATAATTGAACACTTCTTAAGTTGTAGTCTAGTGTGAATTTATTAGTTATTAGTTATCAGTGATGTATAAGGTAGTCATGGAATTTTGGAGTTGAAAACATCCTCTAAGGCCACCTGATTCAGCTTCTCATTTCTCAGTAGATAAATGAGACTCTTAGAGGAATAAGTGATTTTCTGCCCTTAGGCTACCCAATTAGTTGGTGGAAAAGTCGAGACTAGAATTCAGTCAATATTTAACACTCAATCTAATTCTATTATACATGCCAATTCTTTAGCATCCATTATTTCTCACAAAGTAACCCCAGCATAACATTCCAAATTTTCTCCTACTTCTTTTCAACACACTAGACAGAAATGTTTTCTCTCACTTCTACTTTATTTTGCCTCTATGCTTTCTTGGGCTCAGCCCCTGCTGCAGACACCACCCAACATTCCATCCTTACCCTAACCCTACACATACTCATGCTACACTCCATCTAGTCATCTACTAGTAGTAACTAATTAGAATACTTTTTTTCAAAAGACATACTTGGAAAACCACAAAGTAAATTTTAGTTTCAACCATTATGCTTGCTTATCCTACAACTTTGTACACCTTCTCAATTACTTCCCTAAATCCCTGGTTCATATACTATAGAGAAAAACAGTATTAAAGGAAAATTCAAAAGTAGTACTACCCATTGACATATGGAAAGTATTTTCTGACCGTCCTTGAGATATGTGACAAAATGATAACTCAGACAAGTGTGCCACATCTTCTTTAAATAAAAAATAAATGCCCTAAAGTATGTGGAGTAGTTGTAGGCTTTTACGAAGTACCTGTTACGTCACAATTTACCAGAATAAATGAAATTCTTCCTGATTTGTGAAATTGTATGTCTATTTCTGATTCTGTTCCACAAGATATACTATTGGTTCAACTTGATTCCTTTAAACTTGTTTAACAAGTTGGTATTAATCACATGGGATTTCCTCCTTTGACTTCAGTTCTTTCATAAAACACACAGAATACATGACAGTCATTCACTTGAGAGAAAAATCTCAGAGCAACAGAAAAAAAGAACGTCTTCATTATCCAGCATTAAAATGTATAGGTAAGTCCTATTTTTGCCTCTGTAGTTTTAGAAGTGTTACTATGTCTTAGAGTGTGTGAAAAATAGCCTAAAGCTTTAAAAATTTGGGTTGTGTCTAGCAGTCTTCTAGTTACTTTTCTGGACATTTCATTAACACTCTTAGATATTTTTCAATAATATGCTTGATATTGTTTAAATAAGACTCTTGGCTGCTTGACTGAATTTTTTGCAAAATGAAGAAAACCTAAAGAGATGATGGCATTATGATATCATATCTTTAAATAAGGAAATGTTTTTGTTTTCTCATGTTTTACTTTTCAAAAAGTGATGTGTGAACATTAAAAAATAAAATCAGTAAAAAATTCTTCCGCTATTTTAATTTTTTTTTGAGGATTCTGAATTTTCACTCCTGTTACAGTATCATTACTGACTATTAAGTATGTAATGAATCCTGAACTTTTTTTACTTTTTATATACTTACAGTATCATTATTTTCAGATACATTCTTGTTGATACTTAAGAGGAAAGTAGTATTTGTCTAGTTTTGTTTTCAGTTAACAAATATTTATTTTTACATACTTTCACATAAAACAAGTTGTAAATTAAGTCAGAGTCAGATAGGACAATCTCAAAATCATTATATAGTTTGATGCTTTTGTGTGTGCATCTATGAATGTATAAATTATTTTTCATGACAGAAAAATATAGTAATGATGTGATTTTAAAAGGGCAATAAATAAAAGCATGGATAGTGTGTTGGCTATGTTAAGTATAATTGAGTTTAAGTATCCCAAACTTTAGAAAATTCAACCAAAATTCAAATCATTTTAATAATAAATAACAAAAGTGCACACTACCAGTCATAGAAGTAGTCACAGAGATATAAAATACAGCATAGGAAATATAGTCAATAATATTGTAATAACTATGTATGATGCCAGATGGGTACTAGACTTATTGTGGTGATCATTTTGTAATGTATATAAATGTATAATCACTCTGTTGTACACCTGAAACTAATATAATATTGTATGTCAGCTATAATTGAAAAATAAATTTTAAAAATAAATTAAAATATATGTACAATAATATGAATTTGAATATGTACATATATAAGAGCTTGAAAATGGGTAGCAGCCCATTTTCAACAATAAATAATAATTCATAATTACCAGTAACAAAGAAAATAATATTAATTTTATTTTGTCTATTTGATATAACAAATTTATTAAAATAAGTCAAAATCTATGAATTAATGTATATATTGTGTTTGTTCTCACTTTATGTGAAAAACAAATCACAAATTGAATTTACTTATCAACTATCACTTTGGAAAGCTATACATGTGAAAAAGTCTAATGAGGACTAGACTAGAAAACACCAATAATGTTTGTTGTATTAAAGTGGTTGTTAGTTTATTTTTTCCATTATTCACAAATGTCTTATAACAATGTAATATAGTTTTTAGTAATCACAATACAATTTAAAATGTATTTTGCTAAACATTTTTTAATTTTACAAAGGAATTTCTCTGATTTTTAAAAAATTGACCCTTATAAGCAGCTAAATATACATTAAAAGTCATCCAAAGGAAAGAGAAGACATGTAAACAATGCAAATAATTTTAAAAGATGTATAATTTCAGTATTCCTTTAATCAACCTAATTTCTAAATTGATCCATCCTAACAGGAAATATGACACTGAATCAAAACCAAACTTGACAACCACAAATAGCTCTTCTTTGGAATTGTGGTTTCTGTGGATCATGATTTAAAATATTTTGTCTCTTAAATAGGTTGCATCTAATAATAACCAACTTATTTTTCCTTTTTATTAACATAAAATAATATAACTTCCAATTAATTTTGTTTATTGGTTGGCTGGTTTTTATCAGATTGAAATAGAGTTATTATACCAAATTGATAAAAATTTCGAAAATAACTTATGGACCCTCATTCATCAATTTGAGGACCCAGTAGTGGGGAACAATTCCTTCTGTCAACATGAATAAAGAGCAGAATTTTCAATGGGAAGGGTAGAGCATAGTCAAATGGCCTAGGGTGTTAAAAAAAATAGACACATTTTTGTAATGACAGCCTTACTTCTAATCCAGGACACTGGTGTAAGTTTAATATTGCAAGGAATTGATTAAAACATAAATTTTCCTTCTCTGATGGAATATTCCCATCAGCATAAAGAAATGCAATTTGAGCCCTGGCCAGTTTGGCTCAGCGGTTAGAGCGTGGGCCTGCGGTCCGGAGAGACCCGGGTTTGGTTCCCGCTAAGGGCATGTACTTCGGTTGCAGTTTGTCCCCGGCCCTGGTCGGTCGTGCGGGTGGCAACCACTCGATGTGTCCCTTCACGTCGATGTTTCTCTCTCTCTCTCCCTTCCTCTCTCTCCCTCCCACTCTATCTGTACAAAAAATGGAAAAATGTCCTTGGGTGAGGATAAAAAAAAAAAGAAAAGAAAAAAATTAAAAAAAAAAGAAATGCAATTTGAAAAAAAAGTCTCAAACTCCACTATTTTCCAATCCCTTCATATGCTCTGAGGGAGCAAGGTATTCAAATAGGGTAGAAGAGGTGAAATGAAAACTTATGATATATTTTTAGGTAATTCTAGATAATTTTTAAGTAAATCTCCCAGTAATTCTGAAATATCTTTGGTTGAGAATGGGCCCTCTTAGGTGGTTTGATTACTTTTACATATAAATCAAACTGCCAGACCTCCTCCAGGTTGTCTTCTCCTAAAGGTTGCAAAGAGGGTGTGTTTCTTTTCTCACCACCTGTTCTTCCCTTCTCCGAAAAAAAAAAAAAAAAAAAAAAAAATCCTACCATAGGGCCCAGGAAATTGGGTGATTGTGTTACCATGATGTAGTCATCATTCCTTTAAAATCCTCAGATATTCCAGATGTCTTCAGATCCACTAAAAAGAGAGTGTCTATATTCACTGAACTACATTAAAAGTGAGAACAGGATGAAGATTTAGGGTAAATGGGCTTATCTCAGTTTAGAAACAGATTAAGTCCCAGTAGGACTCCTCCTACTATAATAATTATTTCTATTTTCTTCCCAAAGAAAATTAGTCAGGTGCCTGCCTCTTAAAAGTCAAAGACAACATGAAGCAAAGGGTGGTGAGGGTGGGGGGAGGCTTACCTGTCAAAAATGCGTTCCTAACTATGCCTTGGTGTCTCAGTTCTGGTTTACAGTTTGCTATTTTAAATGAAGTAAAAAGGGGGACATCTATAATACTTTCAACAATAAAAACATAATTATTTCTTTCCTCAAAAAAAAATGCTTAAAATTGCAAATCATTAGGCAAAGGATATATATCTTAATAGAAACTAGGCAAGTACATTTAAATGGTGCATATAAAGTACAAGTATTTGCCCACAAAGCCCTCAGTCCACATACTAAAACTGTTGCTGAATTTGGTCAGAATGTTTTACTAATGGTAGTGATAAAAAAAATAAATAAAACCATATTATATTAGGTTAATAAATGTTTTACTAATGGGGAAGTGATGATGGAATTATATAATACATATGATGGTCAGCTGCAGTCAATCACCTAGGATAATATATTTTCCATCAAATCCTCACATCCACTGTCAGTTTGTCCCCTGGAATGCACTCACAAGCTATTGCCTCAGAGATTTGTTACTTACCTTACTCTTATGCCACTCCAGCTCCCGAGATGGCTATGGTTGACACCCCTAAAATAAATCATGAGGACAAGAATCAATATCTACTATTGTAAGGAAACCTGAAGATATCCAATCCAATTTCTTAAAAGGTGTTACTCCAACTTGAAGGATCCCTTTCTCTTGAGCCAAAAAAAAAAGCCATTATTTTAGTATTTCACAGTATTTTTAAGTCTAAACTTAGTATATGTTCATAATATGTAAAATAAAAACACCATCCCAAGTCTAACACCACTCAGTGAGTAACTATCTAAGATGACTGGAAATAAAATTGACTTTGGAAAAGTTTATACTAATAACTAACTCTGAAAAAAGAAAATGGCAGATTCTATTGAATAACTACAATATCCATTTGCCAGAGCTATGAAAAAATATACCAGTGATTAATAAAAGGATATGTGAGCTCTGGCCAGTTTGGCTCAGCGGTTAGAGTGTCGGCTCACGGACCAATGAGTCGCAGGGTTGGTTCAGTCAAGGGCACATACCTTGGTTGTAATTTGTCCCCGGCTTTAGTTGGGGTCATGCAGGAGGCAGCCACTCGATGTGTCCCTTTCATGTCAATGTTTTTCTCTCTCTCTCTTTCTCCCTCCCACTCTATCTGAACAAAAATGGGAAAATGTCCTCTGGTGAGGATAAAAAAAATTAAAAATTAAAAAAAAAAAAAGATATGCGAGCTCAGGCTTCAAGGCAGTACATTAAACAGAGCCAGTGAACATATTTTTTCCAACCTGGACAAGTTTTTACGGACTATCTTACTTAACTGGGATATCAGCCTGAGTTTAATATAGTAAAGAATGGATTAAAACATACAGTTTACCCATCTGCAGAAAATTTCCCAACAGCATAAATACATATCATACTATCTCCGGTTAAAAATTAAAATCCTCCCTTGACCCACATCCCTTCTCCAACTATTGCATTTCTCCTTTCCTCCTCTTCTTTCCTCTTCGAAAGTTGGTCCAGACCTACTGCCTCCATTCCTATTTTCTTCTCCCATTCACCTCTACTAATTTAAAACTTTTTAATTGTGAAATATATCACACATAAAGACTAAGTGTAAAAATAAACTTCTAGATACTCCAAATTTATTAAGAAAAAATAGCATCACCAGTATTTTAGAAGACCTGAGGGTCCCTCCCCAATTACATCTTGTCTACTAATTGTCCTCCCCACACTTTGCCCAATGTAACTGCTACCTTCCATGGTATCTAAATATCCTTATCTTTAAGGTTTTACTACTCATGGATAAATCCCCAAATAACATATCATTTAGTTCTACCCACATTTGAAATTCATATAAATAGGATCAAAATTATGTTT